TTGTACACATACCACCTACACTTTGGGCGGACGTGTTCGTAAACAAGGTTATTCAGCTGTTCCCGCAACTGCAGTTATTTTACAGATCACGGTATGAGACTCGCAAGCGCTACCATATTCGAGCAAAACCACCACCATGGACTACGATTGCGAGAGAAAGGAACGAATGGCATATGTGCTGGGGTCCGCTCGGCTCGTAAAAACGGGCCCTCCAGGTATCCAAGTAACTAAGTAAATAACTATTGCAGGAGGAAACGAAGTCGGAAATCGAAAAACGCGCCAACGACTGAAACTTAGATATCTAAACTAAGCATGCCTTCGAAAAAGACAAACGTTCTTAAGCAACGGTTCTGATAACGCGTTGTATTAGTACACTGCAAAATCGAAAACATTAGTACGCGAAGCTTTTCATCAGCCACAATAGATCTGTCATCAACCGATATTATTCAAGCAACTCCAAAACTATTTGCTGAGAGGAATTTAGGAGAAAAATAGAAGCTCGCATGTGAACACACGAAAGCGACTTCGCACTGATTTCCTCCAAGACCTCCGATTTACACAGTATGAAATATGAAGCACAGAGAAACAGTGATGAACGTTATTGCAGAACACCGTTCAACACCGTTCTCATCAAGTATAGTAGATGCCACACTTAATTAAACGAAAATGTGGAGAAGATTGTTGCGTAGTGGCTCCAAGTTTTGCAGTTGGCTTCGGTTGCTATTTAAGGATTTTGTTTCATCATGAATGTCCAGAATGCTGGTTGAGTCGATTCACTCTGGAGTCCTGGAATAGCCGGACGGGAGCGCTCCCATCTAGGTTGCAGAGAGTGATTTTTTTTCCGGACGCGTTTGCTACCAATATCCCGACCACGGAGGGATGAGAGGCTGCTTTGGCCCGCTGCACCATGCTCGTGGTGACCGACATCATTACCACTGTGCTATCCGCACCATATATATATATATATATATATATATATATATATATATACATGCATTCTATTATACGTATTCTGCACAGGTAGCACAGGTATACACATAAGCAAACAAAGTCACAAACTAACAAAGGTTTGTTATTGAAGAAACCTCCTACTAAGTTTAGAGTTTCTCCTTTCTTCAAAGCTTTAATGATTTCAGTCGATTCCCCACAGTCGTTCATCTTCGTGACGTAGCTCTCTATTGTCA